TTGGTGTTTCAGCCCCAGGCAGAGGGGCACCTCTAGTGTGAGGGCTGGGGAACCCCACTCTCCCCCCTGAAAGCTGGGCGTGGGGAAGCCTGCATGGTGTTTTGGAAAGTGTTCTGCACTGGGAATCAGAGGGCCCAGGCCTCAGTCTCAGCTACAGCACCTACAATCAGGTGACTGTGACTGTTAATATTAGCGATGAAGGCAATGGCCAGGGTTGAACCCCTCCTGTGTGCCAGACATGGAGGGAGATGATTTACGTACATTATCTAATGTCCCTCAATTTCAATTTTCTGAGGCTATTACCTTCAGAAACTACCTCACAGGTCTATAATGAGAACTACATGAGTCAACCAAGTTAGAAAAGGATTTCTAAATGGTAAAGTAAGAAGGGTTAGAATTTGCAGGATTTGATAGAGGCAGACTCTTTGAGCATTGCTTTTTGATGAACACAGTAGGAAAGAAATAACAGGCCCGGTTGGAGAGTAGTAATAAAAATTATTTAAAAAATGCTTTCCATTTTCCTATGTTCCTCAATTTTGTTTGTTGCTTAATTCCTTACCGTGTTTTAATTCACTCTTGGATCTACGCAAAACGTGGTCTACCGATATCATCTTGTCTGAATTGATCAGGCAATCCCATCAAACAAACTGATGAACTTTCTTTTTCCACTGAATCAAACAATTGGGTAAACTGTCCATTGGTTGCTTTCACATTTTGCATATTTAACCCAAGATTTGATAAAGTTACTAATAGAAAAAAATGACAGTAATATTTAGTGAGCCCTTAGGTGCGATAGACTCAGTGCTTTTATTTATTTCTCACAAGACCTTATAAACAAGGTTCTCTTATTACTCCCACTTTATAGATAATGCAACCGAGGCTAAGGAAGCTTAAATAACTTGTCCAATGTCCAATTGCCAGCAGCGGCAGAGTGGGATTTAAATCTTGGCGAGACAGCCCACTTTGGTTCCAATTAACCAGCCATTTCCAGCAAATGTAGTTTGGCATTTAAATGACCTGGAATGATCCCTTTATATAATTTTGGTCTCATAGGACATACATAGGTCAACCTACTTTGAGACAGACCATCCAAGGCCTTAAAGTTAGTTTAATGGTAAGTAGGTTAAACAAATTTGAAATGCAAGACTTGCTTTTTCAGGCCACAGCTCCATTGTAAATAATTCATTATTCATCCAGCAGCTTTGCTCAGTGCTACCTGTCAGGGAGGGCATCGTGGGAGATATAAATACAGGGCACATTCCGGAGAGAGAAGTGTGATGTTTGAAGGATGTAAACAAACTGCCATTGGCATTTGAAAAAAGAGAAAGATTTGTTCCATTGGGATGAATCAGAAAAGGCTTCATGGAGTTCTTCCACCTAAAATGTTCTCTCTCCCAGCCACCCATGGCTCACTCCCTCATCTCTCTCCAGGTTATTGTTGGAATATGCTCTACTCAGAAGACCTTCTGACTCCCCATTGACAAAGACTCCCCAACATTCCTCCTCCTGCTGCCTGCTTGACTGTCTCAACTCTTGGCTTACTATGTGCTTTTCTTATTTACTGGCTTCCTGTCCATCTCTCCACGTTAAAATGTAAGCTGCACGAGGGTAGGGTTTTCGGGCTGTTTTGTCCACGGATGCAAAACTAGTTTCAGAAATACCTAACACAAAGTAGGGACACAGTACACCTTTGTTGAATGGATGGAGAAAATATGACTTAAGCTGGGCCTGAAAATGGGTAGGCTTTAGCTAGGTATTGGTGAAAGGAAGTACATTCCAGGTGGAGAGAATGACTTAAGAATGGAGGCATCGACGCGTATAAGGTGAACTGGAGGGCAGACCAGGGAGTACTAGACACAAGGGATGACGATATCGCTGGCACGCGAGTTTGGAATGGAACCTGTGAGAGGGTACAAAGGACCATGTGACAGTATCTGGCTATTGAACCAAAGGAAAGGTAAAGGTCAAAAGTGTCTGAAGTCATCCCTCAGGACACTATGTAGTGATCTGGCAGAGAACTGTTCTCATAAACATTTCTCTGAATTTTTTTCACATATGGGCACACTGCATTCTCTTATTTTTTTTTTTAGGTTTAAATACATCACATTCATTATCATTTTGAAGCTCAAATGATTACATCTTTGTCATTGGAAGCCTCTTCAAGTTGTCTCCTTGGTCGTTTGACATGACCCTGCTAGTCTTGGAAAACGTCCTTGCTTTCTGGTGTGGCAGGATGGTCTGGGCTTGTCTTGGGTGTTGCCTGTGTCACACCTGAAACCTCCCATTTCTCTAATATGCCCCAGGTCCGTTCAGTGGGAAATTATACTTTCAAACCATATCGGTGCTAGGGGTGCTCGTGACACCCGATCAGTCTGTTTCTAGGCCTTCTCAGTGGACAGAGCGAGGAAAGCTTATATTTTTCATCGTAGGCACATTAAGAACTCTACATTTTTGGAGGAAACGGTGCTCATAGCTTTAACTCTGCTCTGTTATGCTCTCTTATGCTATTAGAGCAGTAAGTTATTAAATGAGGTCTTAGTGACATGAAAGAATTAGTGCATCTTTCTCCGGTGACTCACTTATAAAGAGGCACCAGAAGGATTTCATTAACAAATTAGCGGTTCAGTAAGTAGAAACTCTGGCTTGAGCACTTTTTTTTTTTTTAGCTGTTATATTTCAGAACAGCAATTTTCAACCTTTTTCATCTCATGGCACAATAAAATAATTACTAAACTTCTATTTTAGTAATTATATTGTTTGCCTATCTGACAAAAAAAAAGGTATTTGATTTATTCACACCACATGGCTATTGTGTTGGCTATTGTCGTTTTTTTTTATTTCACATCTAAGGGAAAAGAAGTCAATGCCCCTGACTAAATAGTCAGGTACGGCATGTTTTAAAAATTCTTGCAGCACACCGGTTGAAAATCACTGCTTTGGGATATAAAATCACCAGGCTGCATTAGAGTGACATTTTGAAATGTGCAATATTTATATTGAAGAAAGCACTGAGTGACCAGTAATGCTAGTTCTAGTGTCACAGACACAACAATGACAACTACCGTCTATTTATCATGACCTTGTGGCATATCAAGAAAATTTCTCACCCTGTAATAATTTACTGGAAAATTAAATATAATTGATTTAACCGCACAGAGAAGGAAAAAAATGACATTCAACCGGAAATGACAAGTCCTTGAGTTGACTTTGCTTTTGAGCAAGAATATACTACTTTACTCACCTTTAAAAAACAACAACAGAAAGAAATCCCTTAGGTTGGATTTTATAGAACTTCCAAGTCTTTCCCATCTCCAATATAAGCTATAGAAAAATGCTTGCCATGGGGGTTCACCCTCAAACAGATTTTACTGTTCACATATATTTGAAATGCAGAATCTTTAACAAAAGAGTATTTTTAACTGAACTTTTTTTTCTTTATTGATGTTAGAGAGAGAGGAAGGGAGAGGGAGAGAGATGGAAACATCGTTGAAAGAACATCCACTGGCTGCCTCCTGCACGCCCTCCACTGGAGATCCGGCCCACAACCTGGGCTTGTGCCCTGACTGGAAATTGAACCGGAGACCCCAGCTTAGCTAACATAGCTTTTTTTTTTTTTTTTTAATCCTCATCTGAGGGCATTTTTTTTTTGTCAGATAGAGTGGGAGGGATGGGGGAGAGAGAGAGAAACATTGATGTGAAAGGAACACATCACATGGCTGCCACCCGCACGACCCAACCAGGGCCGGGGACAAACCGCAAATGAGGTACATGCCCTTAGCGGGAACCAAACCCAGGTCTCTCGGGACCATAGGCTGATGCTCTAACCGCTGAGCCAAACCGGCCAGGGTCCTAGCATAGCTTTTAAAGATACTGTTTTATGCCCAGCTGGTGTGGCTCAGTGGCTGAGCACCAACCCATGCACCAAGGGGTTGCCTGTTTGATTCCTGATCAGGGCACATACCCAGGTTGTGGACCAAATCCCCAGTGGGGGACATGCAGGAGGCGACCAATCAATGTTCTCTCTCATCGATGTTTCTGTCTTTCTCCCTCTTCCTTCCTTTCTCTCTAAAATCAATAAAGAAAAAAAAATCAATCAATCAATCAATAAAAGCTATGCTAGACTATCAGCCCAGCTGGTTTTGCTCAGTGGACTGAATGACATCCCATGGACTGACAGGTCCTGCTTCAATTCCCAGTCAGGGCACATGCCTAGGTTGCAGGCACAATTCCCAGTGGGGGGCATGCAGGAAACAGGCAATCAATGTTTCTCTCTCTCTTCCTTCTCCTTTCTCTAAAAAAATCAATGAAAACATATTTTTAAAATAATGCTAGGCTATCATATACCTAATAAGTCTCAGATAAAAGACTATTTTTCATATGATGGGTTATGTTTGACCAAAAAAGTTCCCCCCATAATCTAAAAACTCAAAAAACTATAATTGATCATAGGCATTGCCTTTTATTATTATTTTAAACAATCATATATTTAAATATTTTTATTTTTATTTTTTTGAGAGAGAGAGGAACGGAGAAGGGGAGAGGGAGAGAAACATTGATGTGAGAATGGAACATAGATCGCCGCCTCTTGTACGCCATCCTGGGGACGGAGCTTGCAACCCAGGCATGTGCCCTGACTGGGAGTGGAAATGGTGACCCTTTGGTGCACAGGATGCTGCCCAACCAACTGAGCCACACTGGCCAGGGTGAAATTGCCTTTTAGAAGGGAAGCAAACATGTTCAGCTTCCAATGCTATAGACCCGACAATTGATATGTTTGCTATGAAGCAGGAAAATAGATTTCATGTTCTGTGCCAATTCCAATAACCTGAGAGTGGCTTCCTGGGGAACTGCTCCGGGATGAGATCCGAGATGGCTTCCAGCCTCCGTAGGAAAGGGAACCGTGATCAATGAAGGACTGAGGAGTCACAGCATGTGTGCTATGCACTTGGTAACCATGATAAAATAGCATTAAAAAAAATAAATAAACATCACAGACTTACCAGATAGGCCACCCACATCCATCTTCTTCAGGTTCTTTGCCTCCAGAATGACAACAGTCAGTTTGCCAGCCGTAGGTACATAGCGAAGGGAGAAGCAGATGTCACCCAATTTCTCTTGCTACAAAAATAAAAATAAAAATAAAAAAAATATGAAAGTTTAAGTAACTTTTCTGATAAGGATGCATATAGTTTGTACATATATGTTGTAAATTCCTCAGGAGGAGAATTATGACAATTAGAATTGGAAAACTCTTAGGTTAATTGACATTCGCCCAGTGGTCTTTCAGTCACTAAGGTATCATCAAGAGTGATTGAGACCCATTCCAGTCTTCAAACAGCTCATTTATGCTCTAACATTCATCAAACTAGATCTACCATTCACTGGTTCAGGAAATGAGCCCAAGACGACTTTTTTAGAAACTCTGCTCTGAATAACATTGCCACACTCTTGGCAAACTTTATAACTTTATTAAACCTTTGAAAGGAGCCAGGCACTTTTTAGTAAAATCACCCCTACATAAATTTTGGTTTCTTTGCACCTCAAATTGGACTGTGTTTAATATCTTTATATTTCGATTTTGGGGAAAAAGGCTTTTAATTGTGGTTCACTAAATTCTCCCTTTTGATGAGAAATTCTGAATTTCTAGTAGCTGAAAGGCAGCAAAGTTTTTGCACTTTCATTTTTACTCATTTCAAGTGAGGTATAGCTTTCTTTTTCCTTATCCTAATATTTGTAAAAATCTAAATCCTAATATTTGTAAAAATCTTAAGTGGCAGGTTGGAAACAAGTACATAGCAATTAAAACAACAAACAGCCCACATCCCCTCACCTTATTCCATCGATACCATACTTTAGGCTCAAAGCACAGTCACCAGTCCTGTGCCCAGGCAATTCTCAACAAGTGAGTCAGAGTTTAAGATGATGGCATGCAGAACTTTTATTCCCCCCCAGAAAGGACTCCATGAGTTCTCCCACCGTCAGTGTCTTACTCTTTGGTATAACTAATTAAGAACCATGGTACTAGAGCTTTTGCATTCATGTTTATAAACATGAGAGAGACGAGGTAGAGGATCTAGACTGCTTTCTAACATAGGGAATTAGGTATTTGGCAAATTAGGGTTTATTTCTTATTGTTTCCTCCCTGACAAAGCAGTGAATCCCGATTCCAAAGAAGGTAATGGTTGTGTCAGATTTCTGAAGATAAACTTTTAATGTAGGAATGAGGTACAGAAGACCATCATCTCAGGTCCTCTCATGTTAACTCTTATTATGACTATTTTTGGCTTTATCTATAACTTCATGAATGTTAAATTGGCCAGTGTCTCCAGTGTGGAAATATCTGGCTAGATGTAAGTTAACAATTTAAGGAAATTTAATTCCTTTATAGGGTATGCATTTTATCCACCTTTAAAAGAGAAAGCATATCTACCTGTTCTATGACTTAACTGTAGTTGAGAAGTAATGTTTTCTCTGTGTGTGTGTGTGTGTGTGTGTGTGAGAGAGAGAGAGAGAGAGACAGAGAGAGAGAGAATTGATGCTCTTTTTGCTTAAGTAATGCTTTTATTGAAAATATCAACATATGTGTTTATAACCCCAATTCTTTCCATTCCTTGAATCTTCATAGCATTTTACCTATGCATCTTGTGTTGCTAAGGACTTATTTTTGTCTTATGTGCACGTCTTTGTTTTCCAACATGACTGTAAACTCCTTGAAGACAGGGTCCTTGCCTGAATATCACTTCCCACACATTTTCAAACAGCAAATAAATGGCAATTTTAGATAATTCCACCATTTTGAGTTATCTAGGTCATAGCTTACTTCCATTAGTGTAGGTAATAATTGCTTCTAATGTGCTACATTCACCTGAAGTGTCTACTCACCCCTACAAATTAATTTACACATCAGAAGAATCTAGTGGAATAAATTACTTTTCATAGTCTTTGAAAATACAGGAGAGTCAGTATCAAAGAAATTAATACAAAGTGTAGACAAATTTATCTGAACCTTATGAGATAAGAGAGATGTAAATGAACAAAATTGCCGTTCAAAAATGCTCATTAGGAGGAGGGTTCTTTTGGTTGGATTCCGTGTTTTTGCCACAATACTCTCCATGGGGAACACACTCTGCTGCAAAACCAGGTTACTATAGCAGTTCTAATTAGGCATTTTAGACATGACTGTGCTCTCTTAAATGACACCTCTCTTTATGGCCCATAATTTAATTCCACAGTTCATTTATAAGCATTTCAATGGTTTTAAACAAGGAAATGTCACAACTTACTTATTTCTAGCATCTTTCTATTCAATCTTATAATATATAGGGAATTTTAAAGATTTTACATAATATTTTGCTTTAGAAGAGAGCAGTTAAGAGTTTGAAAAACCACACCTCAAGTAGGAGAAATATGTGAAGTTTTCTGTAAAGCTAAGAAAAAAAAAGAATGTTTAAAAAATATCAAAATGGAAACTTTGAAAGAAAGGGAAATACGGAAAAGTATGTATGTTAGTACCTTTACAGATCTACATTTGACTAACTTAGGGACTTGAACATGTAAAATCTCATTTGCTTATAAAGTTATAATTGGTACACCAAATTAAACATGTATTTTTATATTAATTGAAGTTACTTTTATTTTTTTAAAAAATGTTCTTATTGATTTTTTATAGAGTGATAGGGAGGTAGGAAGAAGGGGGGGGGAGAGAGAGAGAGAGAGAGAGAGGGAAACATTGATCAGCTGCCTCCTATACGCCCCCTAGTGGGAATCGAGCCCACAACCTGGGCATGTGCCCTGACTGGGAATCAAACCAGGAACCTCTTGGTGCATGGGCCCATGCTCAACTAGTGAGCCACACCAGCCGGCCATATATGGACATTTTCACATCAAACTCTTACATCATAGTTTTCACATGTCAGTTTGGAAGAAAGATAATTGTATAGTAATATATAAAGATTTAATAGTAAACATTTTATCTATCACTCTAAAGTTCTAGGAAGCAAAATTTCCCAAATTCTAAAAATGTTTCTTTTAGCAGGGATATGGTGATGGAAGACAAAAATGCTTCTTGGAAAACTTATGTAGAAAGATGATACCCAAATCCACATCTCAGATCCTTACTACTCCTTGACAATTCTGTCTTGTTTTCTCCACAATGACCTGGGAAATAGGTACCGTTATGTTCATTTTATTTGCGACTCAGAGGTTCCGGAAGGTTCCACAGATGTCTCAGTGTGGAGCTGAAGGAAGGTCCTTGACTCAAAATCATGAATTGCTTTTATTCTCAGATAGGCATCTGATAAGCAATATTCCAACTGATCACCCACTGGCTTTTCCAGTCTAACTGCCCTGTCATAAAACTAGAAATGAGAACATTTCTGGAGGTTCCATTTGTATAAGATAATTTCAAGACCCTGTAGAGTTGCGGCCGACAGATGAGTGCTTTTGCTGCTGTGATTATCTCATGAAGGGGCCTTGTTACTATTAGGGATTTCAGCTCTATGTATAATTTATTTTAGTCAATTGCCTTTATCACTAGGTGGAACTTGCCAGTTAGTGTGAGAAAGTTTCAACTGTGAGATTTAGAGAAATTTCAAATGCTTTTTTAGAATGTGGTGCTGACAACCAGAGTGCACCTTTGTCCTGACCTGCTTGATAATTCCCTTATTATTATTATTTTTTAAAGCAGCCACTAAATAGAGTAGACACTAATTAATGATTAAATAGACAACTACAGCAATACCTTTCCTTTTTGAAAAGCATTATAGGTATTAGAACAGAGGTCATAGCTAATGGATAAATAAAAAGTTTGATTTAAAATGAATATTTATTTGATCGCTTCTACAATACCATGCATCATTTTATATGTAAAGAGAGGGTTTCCCTTAATGACCTTTGCAAATGGGGCTAAGTCATATGTTTGTTGGAAATGCTGTACTTTTAAATGAGTTTTTAAAAGGCACCTGAATTGATTTAATGCTGTGACATTTTAAAAAGGCCTGTTCTATTTATACTAATCTTAGAATTTTTCTATGTGTTAAGTTAGTGATAGATTCTCTGAATAGAGGATTTTTCTGTGTGGTTGGGAATCTATTTAAAGGTGACAAGTCCTACATGGCAGTCCCATAATCTTTCAAATAAAAATTCAGACTATGTAAATTCTGCATTTGTAAGCATACTAAGATGTTATTTATTTATAAGAAGGACAATCTCAGGTTTTTAATTTTAATGACAAAATGGGTGGCTTTAAATATGTCCTTTGTGTGGAAGTATCTTTCAAATTCATTTTATTCCCACAACTACTTTCAGAGCCCTGAAGTATCTGCCAAATCGGTATTTACATCTAATGGTCCAGATGGTCACAGTGTGAAATGTTGCTACGGCTGTACTGAGGCTAAAAAGACTGAATCTGGCCTTGTGTACAACTGTATAGTCTGTTATTCAGGTGCATGACACAGTATGTCTTTAAATACTTATTTTTACTCTATAATCCATTAACTTGGTATTTATTCATTTCTTATTAAACAAATGTTGAGTTTCATCATGGCCTCTTCCAGGTTCCAGACCCCATTATTCATAGATGAATAAGATGACTTTGAGATTTTCAGAATATAGTGGAGAGACAGATTTAAATAGATAATAACGATGATTATAATAATATAATGTGTTCACTTCACCGTTTAGGTGGCACAAACGCTCTGGGAGACAAGAGGAGAAAGTTGAAACTTTGCAGGGTGTTTGGTAATCTAACTAAAAAGAGGAGGACTTTAATTGGAGATTTATACCCCTTATTATCAATTTCTCCAGGCACTGCAAATGCATGCTCTTTGTAAAACTGATGAGTTTGCCATTCGAGTGTAGCTTTAAGAGAAGTCTTGAGCTCTCCTCTTGCAAGCAGAACTAGCGTGGGAGGTTGGGTCATGACCCTGGTCCTGGACGAGCCAATACTTGAGCTGAGATGTGAAGGTTCAGCAGGAGGCATCAATGTGAACCCGGTAAAGATAGAACAAGAATGTTCTAAACACAAGGAGGCATATGCAAGGTCCCTAAGAGCTTAAACCCAGTTAGTCTTCCATAAGCGTAACATTCATGTTACTAAATTAAGTATGAATTTGTAGTTA